TATTTTGCAAGGGATGCATCTTATTCTGACAACTACTGCAGAGAAGACTCATACACCAAGACCATGTTTCTGGCACGGGTGCTGGTGGGGGAGTTCACTCTTGGTAGTCCTTCTTATGTTCGGCCTCCCTTGAAGGACAACCAAAACTTCTACGACAGTTGTGTGAATAGCTCTTCAAACCCTTCTATCTTTGTCATCTTTGAGAAGCAGCAGATTTATCCAGAGTATCTCATAGAATACATTCACCAGGCATTGGCAAAAATGCTATAGCAGCAAAACCTGTCATCATTATGTTTAGCTGGTATAAACATTTTTTTTTTAGTATTGGCTTAAGAGAGAAAAAGTGATTTTTAGAAGTTGTGTAATTGGGTAGGTGAGTGTTCAGAAACATTTATTCTCTATCCTTTCTGTGCAATAGAAAACAAGGGGTAAAAAGACACAAGTGATGTCTTAGAATTCTTAAAATCCTGTGTCTGTCTCCTATTCTTTAACAGGTATTATGTTTCCCTGCATTACTAGAGACTTTTATAAATTTATTAGATGAATTCACTGATGGTTTTAACATGAGGATTGGCTATGACTGCCAAGTTTAAACAATATTTAGTTATAATTGTTTCAGGATAGATCTTTACACATGCTCGTTCATCAGAGGCTGTCTCCTTCTACCTGTTTATCTTTTAACTCAAAATTTGATAAAACCTGCTTTTTTTAATAATCTGTCTCCTGTAACAGTAGACATTCAAGTGATTGCAAATGAGACTGTACAATCTCTGTCTCTGTGCTCAACTCATTGCATAAATTCTTAGCAGCACTGGTTTTTGTCCCTACTTAATCTTCACCAACAAAGCCTCAAAAATTAAACTTTGTTGTTGAAAAGGAACAGAGACTTATTTTCACTTGTTAATTTTCTCATTTAAAAGAAGTACCAAAGACATGAAGCACAGCAGGCGTTGCCTGGTGCTGTGCTACTCAGTTGACTTACTCTATCAAATAAATGCTGTATTTTAGGTCTGTGAGAACACAAGTTTTTCATGACTTTCCCTGTGAGAGAGTGCGTGCTGGCAGGTGCCAGAGCAGGGGGGGAGAAGAGGAGGCAACTCACCCTGTCACTTAAGAATATCATACTTAGGAGTGAAATACACTGCTTGCACTGCTTGATTAGCAATACCCTGTTTCTGTGGAGCAACTTTATGGTTCTCTTACAGCTGTTGGGAAGGACAGTGAGTGACTGTCTCTCGTTAGGTGTACTGCCCCTTTGGTTGCAGGAGATACCTTGATTATACAGGTAACCAGTGTATCTTTGGACTTTCTTGCAGGAAAAATGTGCGTACCTGGGGAGTAGTCTTCAGCCACAGAGCTGAAACCTTTAAAAATCTGAAGATTAAGTTGAATATTTAGTTGTTCCTAGCTGTGCTGGTTTTGGCTGGGATAGAGTTAATTTTCTTCACAGTAGCTAGTAGGGGGCTATGTTTTGGATTTGGGCTGGAAACACTGTTGATAATACAGCGATGTTTTAGTCACTGCTGAGCAGTGATGGCTGAACACCTGCCTGCCGACGGGAAGGAGTGAATGAATTCCTTGTTTTGCTTTGCCTGCGCTTTTGGCTTTTGCTTTACCTATTAAACTGCTCTTATCTCAATCCACGAGTTTTCTACCCTTCCGATTCTCTCCCCCTTCCCACTGGCGGGGAGTGAGCGAGTGGCTGTGTGGGGCTTAGTTGCCGGCTGGGGTTAAACCACGACAC